AAATTGACCTTATGTTTGCATCAAAACACATTTTTTTTTTTTGTTTTCTCCTTAGTGATGCAAAATCTCCAAGTACTCACTTGTCATTTTTGGGACTGAGTCATCCTTGTGAACATGTTTTAGGTTTGGTGCATGTCTTTGCTGGAACCATTTGTTGGAGGTCCAGCTTCATTTTAAAATGCTGATGCTCTCTGGAGAGGGCCAAAACACTGGTGCAGGTAAAGGATAAATCATCAAACCCCAATTTTACTGCCCTCTGGTTTCAAAGGACAGCTTTGCTACTTGAGTATTAAAGTTTGCTAGTGTGGCAATACTGGCAGAGCATGTGTAGACCATCCCTTAATGTCTAATCTGGAGCAAAATCATTAATTTGGGAAGACAGCTCCTTTCCAAGAGACAAGTGTCTCCCTCTTGTCTCCTGCAGCCTGGTTCCTGGCACCCTGCAGCGTAAGTAGGTCAGTGAACTGCGTTTGCACCGCGGTGACGTGAGAGCAGGTAAAAGTTTTGTGTTGCAAAGCATCAAACCCAAAGCGTCTGTCTGTTTTTATGATGATTTTTTGTCTGTCAGATTTTTTGATGGCTGTTCACTGTAAATATCAACAGTCTACTTGTGGTGAATGTGGTCTGGAGCATTCTCATAGGCACAGTGTTTGCAGACAGGTGTTTTCTTTACTTGTTCAGGTTCCAATATACCTGCACTCTAAGGATTAAAGCTTTCCAAGAGTTGTGCTCTTGTTCTCTGTATAACTTATGTGGCCATAGTAAAAACACATCAGTTGTCTTTTCTTAATAGTTTACAGATAAGGCAGAGATTTCAAAGATTAAAATATTCCCACAAAATTATGTCTGACTCAGGAAAGCAAGTAGTGTCGGTGGTGGCCAAGTTCTTAATTTGAATTTTCATTTTGTTTGTTGTTTTGTCTAGTTGAGTTTTTTAAAAGTGATTATTCCCCTCCTGTAAACTTTCAGCTGTAAAATGTAAGAAAACCAAGTTTGCGGACCCATAGATTTTTTTTTTAGAACCTGCTCCTTAAAAATCTTAACTATCCCACAACAGTGCTTTCACAGGGATTGACTGTAAGTTCAGAAGTATTGGTTGTATTTTGACTTGTTTTGCTCTTTCAAAGTTACAGTAAATTGGAAGTTCCATCCTAATTTTAACAAGAACTGTGGACAGTCTTAATTTTCCTGTTGGTTTGCTTTTTCCTTGCGGTAATTTTTTTTTTTTTTATTTCATTAGATGTAAATTGTTGTTCCTAGCAGTATCAGCATCAGTTCTTGAGGTGTTTTCATTTTGAGGATTCACCTTGCCTATACTGCTTACATATGCAGAGGAGATACTGGAACTTTTATCCTCATTCTGCCTCATGTAGAGCATTTCAGATGACTCATTAGGATTGTATTCCTTAAGTGATGTGGAACAGCAGATTCTAAATTTGTCACACAGACAACATCAAAACACAACATCAACCCATTTGTTCTCATGCCACTGGCTCAAGGTGTTGTGTATGCCAGCAGGTTTCTTGACGAGACACAAGATGTTGGGGTGGATGTTGAGCATTTATAGAACAGTTTATGTTACTGGAAGCAACTTTAACTTACAATTATGGTCTTAATTAAAAAATGGAAATTATTGTTTTAAAGCGTGTATGGAGTCAAGTTGCTCAAAATTAAATTACTTGAGAAAACAGGATGAAGTTGCCTTGTTTCATTTCCTCCAGCTCCGTCTTGGTTGTGCTCTGCTCCCAACTCCTGGCTGGGAGGGTTATTTCCTTCTAGATCTTGATGTTCTGGTCTTCCATCTGAATTAAGACTGAGGCAGCCTTTTCTGCTGTGGTTTGACAGCTTGGAGTGCTTTTAAAGCAATTAGAAATGTCTGCAGTAGGAAGCTGCCACATGCCTGTGTTGGAAGCAGCTGTGCTGCAGCTGGTGCATCTCTGCACCTTGGGTTGCCGGTTGCCACTTCCAGCTCTCAGCCACACAAATCACAGGCTGAATAAATCACCCTGAGGAGAAGTGTGGCAGAAAGAAGGCATCCTCCTTCTGGGATGCTGACAGATTGGAAAGCCTCTGTTTGAGCATCACTGGTAACTTATTTTCTAAAGTTAAATTTGATAGAGGGCAAGGGTTAAGTATTTCGCTATGAGCTGCCCATTGTCTTTCTGAACTGGGAACAAACGTGTTTGGAAACTTGTTCTGTTTCTGTGTGTTATGACAGGGATGCCCAGGCCTCACTTGCTGGTGAGGGAGGTGTGGGTGCAGGTCACAGCTGGTGCTGGGTGATGCAAGAGGAGATGTGGCTCCTCGCCCTCTGCTTGCACACCTCCTACTTTTCTCTCCTCCTTCAGCTTTCTTTCCATTTGGACTTATGATTTTTTTTTCTTAAACTTTTCCAGCTCCAAACCTGGTTATAATATGTCCTTGCATCATATTTTTCCTCCCCTCTTCCCAACAGCCAGTAGCTGTCGTGCAGTTTTGATGTGAGTGACAAGGAGTACCTCCAGCTGCCTTTGGGAATGGCTCTCTTGGCATAGCTCAGAAGTACTTGTACTGAAATAAATAACCTTGTATTTTATTAACCAACAAATTAAAATCATGTGACAGATGTATCACTATTGCTTCCCATGACAGATGATAGGAACAAAACTTGATCTGGGAGCTGGGGAGTGTTTTCATGAGGTGAATGTTTGCTTGGATAGTAGTGTCTTTAACTTTGAAGTAATTTGATTTGTTCTCAAGGTTATTTTTCTGCTTCATGTTTTGGCCTTGCATTAGGGCCTAGGTCATTTCTTTTCAGCTTATGAACTGTTGATGCCTGAAAAAGTACACAGTAATTAGAACATCTACCCTGATAAGACCCAAAAGCCCTGAACAACACTTTCTTGTTACCAGGAGGCGCCAGTGTAAAGTCCACGCAATAAGGTGATTTAGCTTGGGTGTGTACAGGTGATGCTGAGATGAAAGTTAATGATAAATAGCACGAGTCCTTTCCCTAATCTCCCCATTAATGCTGGCATCAACATGCTTGTTGTATGCCTTGGACCTGTTTTAAGCCCCACACTGTGTTGGACACCCTGGGTTCTGAGGAGATACTGCTGTGTATTTGCTCATAACAGCTGCTTACAGGTACCTGTGAGATCCAGTCTGTCTTTTCTGCTAAGGAAGCCAGACACCGTGAACCTTGATACATTTTATGTTCAATTAAAAGAAAACACAGTTTCATCCTGGGAATCAAGAAGTGCCTTTTATTACAAACCAAGTATCCCAGAACTCAAGTGTAAATGGAGGTAGTTTGGATAGATTTGAAAACGTGTGTAAAGAAGCCTTTGTTCTGTTAGAAGTGAAAAGGCACATTGCTCTGTGTGTATATGCTCTGTGGCTGGTTTGGAGCATGTAGACATGAAAAATGCACATTGCACATGGGCAAGGATGGTGGGGTTGGGGTACACGTTGTACGTTCTGCTGGAAATGTACATTTGGGACAGGAGTTTTCAGCTGACAAGCTGTAAATCAGTGCCTGCTATTGCAGCATGAGCTTTAATGGGAGTCACATAATTTTCCTAATCTCCTTCCAAGTGTTAGGAAATAAACAATTTCCTAATCCACGCCAGGTTGTTGTTGTTATTTGTATTGTAACTTGTGCCAGGTGCTGTACAGACAGGGGGAAGCAGCCCCAGCCCTGGTGCACCGCTACCTCTGGGTGTTCTGCAGAGCAGAAAGGGGATGTGAAGACAGAACCACAAGTATGATGAGCTGAAGGGCTAAAATTACTGCCCTTATTCACACTTAAAAATAGCTCCTTACAGACTTAGGTTTTATTTGATGTGAGTTACAGCTTACTTTGTGAGAAACTAATTTATTCCAATATGAGTAAGTGAGGCAGAATCTGCCCTTAGCTGAGACCTATTTATGTATTTGCTTAGCATGAGTGTGGATAGCAGGAGGCTGGGCACTTTCAGCTTAGCAAAGCCACAGCTTTTCACATTAAGAAACTGATTCTATCTAAGGATATATTCAAATGAATGTTAAAAAGTTTAAAAAGCTTTCATTTTAGTGTGCTGTGGTATAGATGTAGGTCACTATATATACCCAGATGTAGTGAAAGAAACTTTCTTGTCTTTATATAATGTATTCTTCATTGACCAAAATGTGGAAAAATATGTTTAAAAATATCTTTTATTAGCTCTTGTGGCTGTTTGCACCGGACTGCTGGATGCTGCTCCCTTTTGAACACTTAAGGTTGTCTCTCCTGAAAGAACTGTTTGCACTGACAGCTGGTGGAAAGCAAAGTGTCTGCTGTGCTATTATTACTTCCTCACCTTTTCCCCTAGCTCCCACCATTCTATTCACAGACACATCACAGTGCTCCTGGTGTGTTTAAAGAAATGGCTTGTAAGTGAAGTGTCCACTGATGTAGATGAATATTTAAAGCTCTGCTGAGCAGCACATGGGCTGTTTCCTGCAACTGTGAGTGCATGGCTTGGTTACAGCCAGGCACAGCATTAGGCTGATAACATCATAAACTACACAAAATGGTAATGCAATCCAAATGTTTGTGCTGCCAGTGAATATTCTGATCACATCTGCTAACTCTAATTATATTTTCCTTGGTAAAAAAAGTTTTTGTTTTGTTTTGCTTTGGGTTTTTTTCCACCTTTATCAAAGCAAATTCTTGTGTTTCATCTGTCAGCAGGGTTTCTGTTCTGTTGCAAGGTCTGAGTGAAGTTTTTGAATGCTTGTGATGAATGAGCTGGGATAAAAAATACTTTGGCTCTTTGATGGCCAGGGTAGTTTGCAAGTCTGACAGATTTGTTCAGTTTGGAGATGTGATGAGCAGTATCAGAGGCCATACCTATGTGGTAATTCAAGGCACATTGAAAGGTTTTAACATCGCTGTTGTGGCTCGAGAGATCCGTATTCTGAGACGTCAGATTCTTCAGAAACTGACAGCAGGCAATGCCTGGATTTTGAACTTTCCTCTTCCTTTTCTCTTCTCTTAGAACAAAATTGAATTACAATCCTCCAAAGGATGATGGCTCAACGTACAAGATTGAACTCGAAGGGATATCTGTTGATATCATGAAAGAGATACTAGATTACATCTTCAGTGGGCAGGTATGGTATTAAAAAAAAACAACCTAAACCTCACTTGGACTATTTGGTTAAATAACTTGAGTTTTAACACTGCTATCGTGAAAGATGTTTAAAGCTTTGTGGTAAAACTTCTGCAGAGTGGAACTGTGCATATGAAGTAGAGGCAGTAGGTTCTGCAGGAGTTGTCTCTGCTCTTCTTGTGCAGCAGGGGAGGACTTTAAAATTTAGAGTCAGCGTCAAATGCTTGTGTTAAAATTAGTGGCTACCTTGAGTAACCTGCTTTAAAACAGGCAGTGTTTGACAGTGGTGGCAGAGGACTGCTTTGGTAGCCACAGAGGTGCAGACCCCATGACTGAGCATTACAGAACACCAGGCACCCTCCCTCCCTTCCCCTCCTGCCCACCTCTCTGGCCTCTTCTCAGATCTGCCTGCCAAGAGCCTTAGCAGCCATTAAAGTTGGTGTGTCCTGTTTGTTTGGAACCAGACTGAGATTGCTGAACGAGTTTAGCATTCAGGAGAAAAAGAAAAGGCAGATTTGGCTTGAAATTAGTTTTAGCATGTATTTAAAAAAATATTTATTTAATATAGCAAAATTCATTTTAGGTTCCTGGATGAGATGAGTAATTTTATGCTTGGTTACTTCAGGAACTTCCCAAAATTTCTGCTTCACACCTTCTGTCAAGCAAATGCCTTTCCAACCCTGTGATAATTAATAAATGGTTAGCAATCATATCAGTTTCTCCTAATTTTTACACTGGCATTAATACTCCATTTTTCAGCCTCTGAGAATGAGTGTAATGAATGCAGGCATGTCATGGAACAAATGAGTGATAGTAGCTATAACTTCTAAATTAATTCTTGCAGATCAGGCTAAATGAAGAAACTATCCAAGATGTGGTACAGGCAGCTGATCTCCTGCTGCTTACAGACTTAAAAACTCTCTGCTGTGAGTTTTTAGAAGGTTGCATAGCTGCTGAGAACTGTATTGGTATTCGGGACTTTGCACTACACTATTGTTTGCATCATGTTCACTACCTTGCCTCAGAGTATCTGGAAACTCACTTTCGAGATGTCAGCAGCACAGAGGAATTCTTGGAACTGACTCCTCAAAAACTGAAAGAAGTGCTGTCGATGGAAAAGCTCAATGTTGGAAATGAAAGATACGTCTTTGAAGCGGTGATTAGGTGGATTTCTCATGATTCAGAATCCAGAAAGGTCAGGACATCCAAATGTTTGTATTTTGAACATGGCGCAAATCGGAGCATTCATTCTAATCAGTGGGAACTATTAGATAGAAATATATTAATCTATTTCAAATAGATCTGTTTCTTTCAGAACTAATCTTATAGAATTTATTGAATTTTGCTTGAAATGCAGACCATGCATTGAAGTAAAAGGGTGTGCTGATGATATGTTATCTGCTGCCTTTATTATTTGATAAACATTAAGAAAAAAAGCACCATTTTGGTATTTGATGGTGTAATCTTGGTGGGAAAGCAAAAATAGCACGTTTATAGAGAAACTTGGAGGACTTCGATGCATTTTCTTACTAACACTGTGTTGTATAGTTTATTGCTTGCCAGTATCAAAAGCTCTCGAGTATTTGCTAAACACAGAAGCATCTGCATGTCCTGGTGCCTCGGTGCTGGGGGTGATTTTGTGTCCCTGCTGCCTCCCCAGGTCCACATGAAGGATGTCATGTCAGCAGTGTGGGTGTCGGGCCTGGACGCTGCCTACCTGCGCGAGCAGATGATGAGCGAGCCGCTGGTCCGCGAGATCGTCAAGGAGTGCAACAACATCCCCCTGACACCCCCGCAGCAGGGAGAGGCCATGCTGGCCTCCTTCAAGCCCCGGGGCTACTCCGAGTGCATCGTGACTGTTGGGGGGGAAGAGAGAGTGTAAGTGTGCGGTGGCACCACAGCTGGCCCCGGTGCCAGCGCTCACGGCTCTCTGAAAACCAGATGCAGAATATGCACACCTATTGCTTATTACTCTAGCATTTCAGTTTGTTTTAGGTTGGTCAGACACACCTAAAATACCTTTGGGGATGATTCAGTAATAAATAGTTATTTTGTTTCTGACATTCAATGTGTAATAAACTTAGAGTAGGGTTGTTTGTTCAGTAAGTGTTCGCTGTTTTTTTTTTAAACTGAATAGTCTTAAACATAGAATCATTTCTGATGATCTGACAGTCATCTATAACAAAACTTAGAAGTAATGAATGTGTGCTTTAATCTGTTTTGTTTATAATAGATGTGGTTCCAAAAACAAAAGTCATTATTGGTGCATCTGAGATAAGGGGAAAATTTCCATTCTACATAATAATCCCTTTCTTTTCTTGAGTACCCCCTGCAGCAGAAGGGAGGGTTCTGTCCTGTTTAAATAAAGCTAGCATTTAGATGTTAGCTCTTTTATAGAAGTCCAGTAAACCATTCAGATAACATTTTGCATGTCAGTTTGTGAATCACTTTACTCAGACATTACTAATACTCTCTGTCGGTTCTTCTTAGCTTGTTCAAACTTCATAAAAAAGGTTACAGGCAGATACAGTAGGAATGAAGCGAATCAGCTTTTCATGTCTCCAAGTCTGTACAAACTCAATTTACACGTTTGGTTTGGGGGTCTTCTGCTTACCAGGGAAATACCACATGATGAATATAGATCTTGAAAACAAGGACAAGCAAGCTTTGAACATGAGGTGTTAACAGTGAACTCGTAAAACTCTGTCTTTGTCTTTCTGTTTCTGCTTGTTCCCTCCCCACCCTGTGTTCAGATCACGGAAACCAACCTCAGTGATGCGGTGTATGTGTCCTCTTTATGATCCCAATAGACAGCTCTGGATTGAACTTGCTCCTATGAGTATTCCAAGGATCAATCATGGAGTATTGTCAGCAGGTAAAGGGGAACTTTGTCTTTGTAAAGTCAATGTTATGAAAACTTACCAGTGCCTCAAAATCTGACATACCGCTTATGATGATGATAATAATAATAATAATAATAATAATAATAATAATGTATTTTCTTCAAGACTGCACTGGGGTTATTTCATGCTTCCCCTTTGTCTGCCCAAAACTATACTTGATTCTGTGAAAATCCCTGTCATCTGAGTGTCTTAAAATCACTATTCCTGCAACTTTTTGTGGGAATCTGCTACATCTGTCTCTCCAGGAGTATTTCATGTGTTAAGTAAATTCTAGTTGCTGCATCACTGAATATGTTGAAAGGTATCTGCAGGGGTAGACTTGAGTCAGATGTAACTGTGCTTTACCTTCTCCAGTTCAGAGTCTGACCTGTAACTGGTCTGGATCTCTTAGTGAATTCCAGAATACAGCTTGCCAGTCATGTAGTTTTGCTCAGTGTGCAGATGTGAGTGTTCTTCTTGAGAGTCCTGTTCTTAAGATCATGTTCCATTTTGTTTTACAGAAGGATTTTTATTTGTGCTTGGTGGTCAGGATGAAAACAAGGGAACGCTAAGCTCTGGAGAGAAATATGATCCAGACACCAATTCATGGAGTTCCTTACCACCAATGCATGAGGCAAGATCTCTATCTAACTGTTGGGATTTAAGTTTTTACTTTGGCAAAATGTTCCTTTTCTTCTGCAAAATTTTATTCTGTATCTCCAGTCGCTTGCATCTTACACATTCAAAATCATGCTACAGACTGACTTCTGTTTATATCCTGTTGTTCTTGTGGTCTGATGCTGACTGCTGGATCTGGAAAATCTAAACAATTGGTGAAGAGCTAACTGTAAGATGAACTACAAAATTTCAGGAATTTCATAATGAATCAGTCCTATAGTATACTTAATGTTCTGCGTATACTGGCCTTCTAAAACAAGAGACCTCTGAGATGGACAAAGGGATCGGACTGTGCAGAAAAGATGGACAGAGGACTGGCCAACATACAGAACTTGGCTTGCACAGACATATTTAGGTTTGGTTTGAGTTAATGCTTCCTTCTTCATAATTACATTCCATCAAAAAGTAACAGTTTATTATTTGTAAACATATATCCTTAATACACCTGTGTTTTTATCTTTGTAAATCAGCACATGGTGTTTATTAAGAAGTTATTTACCACAGGATTTTCCTCTTTGCAATCTCTGGTTGACAAAGGCATGTAAATTGGCTACAATTGTAGTTACGATGCATTAAGTTTCCTGCTTGTGATGTGTTTGCTGTGAGACTGAGGCGTAGCTGGGCTCATACATACAAAACAGAAGAGCTGCCTTTGCACAGAGAATGGGTCCAGGCTTTGCTGCTATAGAGACCTGAAAGCAACAGCCTCATTGTGGAGACCACCACTATGGGAACTGAAATATTGCCAAGCTCTGTTCTCTGATTTCTGTGTGGTCTCTTTGGCTTCTGCTGCTCTGCTTCTTTTCTTTTTTTTTTTTCTTTTGATGCCCTTTGTTTTGTTTAGTTGATTAAATTAATAATCTTATGCTGGTGTTTAGGACTTTACCATTAAAAACAAAACAAAACAAAAGCCAGGCATAATACCAATAGCACTTTGCAGACAGATACTCTGAAAAATAAGATTGCATTAATCTATTCACAATGGCAGTTATGTTTTTCAGTGTTGACTTTATTGTTGTTCCTTAGGCACGACATAATTTTGGTGTGGTAGAGATTGATGGGATTCTGTATATTCTGGGAGGTGAGGATGGTGAAAGGGAGCTGATCTCTATGGAGAGCTATGATATTTATAGCCGGACCTGGACCAAGCAGCCAGACTTGACCATGGTTAGAAAGGTAAAAACTACATCCTATATCATTGTGTTGCTTCTTGTTAAACAGTTAACGCAAATATATGTATGTATATATATAAAAATATGTATTTTAATCTTTTGCTTCAAGTAGAAGCTGTAGCAAATAGTCTCAAAATGAAATGAGAGTGAGCAGCTTCTCTCTTTATACACCCAAACAAAACCGTGGCTGAGCATTTTTATGTCTTGCATTGTTTGACACGTGGTACAGGCAACCCAAATGAGTCTGTGTGTGTGTATAGACAGCTTTGAGCTCTCAATACTGTGCATTTGTGTGTCATTTTAGATATATTTTTCTTTTTTTTCCATAAGATTGGCTGCTATGCAGCTATGAAGAAGAAAATCTATGCAATGGGTGGAGGCTCCTATGGAAAACTCTTTGAATCTGTGGAGTGTTACGACCCCAGGACTCAGCAGTGGACAGCAATCTGTCCTCTCAAAGAGAGGAGGTGAGGCAAAATGGAAAGGGGTGGGACTAGATTGCTTTTCCAGCGCTCTGATGGGAGGAAAGTATCCTTTTGCTGATGAATCTGTGAAGATGGGCTTTGAATCTCACCAGGTCTTTCTGAGTCATGGTAGCCTGTAGTTAACATATGGCTGAATAAAGACAAGCATCCAAGCAATAAATACAAATTTTGTAGAAACATACAAGCAATAGTTCCCTGATGAAAAAATGAAAACTAGAAATTGTAGTTCAATTGGAACTTCACAATATTTTTAGACAGAAATATTTTACTGTTTTTTTCTTTTATGATCTGAATTAGGTGCTTACAATTAATATCCATTACTCATCTTGTTGGATATTTAAGGTATCTGTATATGTGTATAAATAAATGTGTATGAATAAATGAGAAAAATATGAAGAAAGTTCAGACGGGTATGCAAAAGGCTTTTGATTAATTGCATTAATATTTTTTCCTCATTTGGATTTTCAGATTTGGGGCAGTGGCCTGTGGAGTTGCCTCTGAGCTTTATGTATTTGGTGGGGTCAGGAGTCGTGATGACAGCCAAGCCAGTGAGATGGTGACGTGCAAATCGGAGTTTTATCATGATGAGTTTAAAAGGTAACTGGCTGCAGCTCTAGAAAATAATTTTCCATCCAGTCATCTGTCTGTTCCCTCACCCCTTGTTCCCGCACTCCAAAGCACATGAGGTCTGTGTCATGTACCTGTTGCTCATTTCACTTTGTGACATGGTATGGCCATTTCTGAAGGCCCATCCACTCCACTTTTCCTTCTAACATGCCAAGCCTAAAGCCCTGGAGCCACCATGTGGGTCTTGAGTGCCCCTGGACAGGAGAAGCACCTTGGTCACACAGGGTGTTCGTGGTTCTTCCCCTGCACTCTGCAATTTCCCCAAGTGCAGGGTACTGCTGCCCACCCCTACAGTGCCCACAGCTCCCTGTTGAGTGCTCATTACAGGTCTTTTTCAACCTAAATGATTCCTATGGAAGAATGTATGTGTGGAAAGGGATATTTCTTTATGATCCAATCCTCTCTCCAAAGATTTGCAGCTTAGGGTATTTCTAAGCTAGAGATAAGAAATGTTATGTATTTCCATTCCAAGCATTTAGAGCTGATGACACCTATGTAGGCTTTTGCCGTAGGAAAGACACTATGGATGCTATACATCCCAGAGCCACCTCACCACACTGCATGGCTCATCTTCTGTTTGTTTTGAATTTGCTTCCTATTACTTAGTTATCTCTTGGCTCTGATAGTGGAATCCACTTTACTATATGTGGTAACCATTCAAAATGTTACCTTACACTGAGTTTTTTGTTTAGTCACCTTATTCTCCAGTCATAACTGACAAACTTGGTTCTTCCAGTGACTTTCTTCTTGCATATTACTGTAAATAGGATTATTCGTCTTTCATAAATTAAATTTTAAAAAGACTTTGTGGTCAGATGTTTCAAGGCTTGTTGACAAGTGAAGGTGATTAGCATGTCTTTGTTAGAAGATCAAGACTGATTTATGACAGTGACCTGTATAAAAGGACACAAAAATAGAACAGTGGATGTAAATTCATTATATAATTTTCTTGCAAGATATGGTTGTAAAGAGACTTTAATTTCTGTATGAAGAGGTCTTCTCTGTTGTTCAAAGTGATGCCTAAACTAGCTGTAATCAAATGAAGCTGAAGAAAAACATCCTTTAAATTGGTTAGAGGAAGCAGACAGATCAGAGGGGCTGTTGCTGCTGATGCTCGCTCCCTTAGCATTTGCTAGCCTTCTGGAGGCTGGGGGAATGGTAGAGGTTTATTAACGTTTTGCAAGAGGTCTTTGGAAAGGAAAGAACTGTGGAAAGAAGTGCTCCCCTCTCTCCTACTTGCTATTTTCAGCTGATTTACTTGAAATATTTCCAGCCTGATTCTGTTCTTCAGAAGGTTGTAGCTCATGATTCCTTAGCAGTGGCTGCAAACCTGTTTTGCTGGTTGATGCAGATTGAGCTTCCACAAAGTGGATTTTGAGGAGCTGGGAGGGCCCAGCCCGGGTGCTGCAGGTGAGTCCGTGGTGCCACCTGCTGACTGCAGCACCCACACCTGCCACAGTGGTGTGGATTTGTGTCTGCTTGGTGGCATCCCCGAGGCCTTTCAGGGTTCCAGTGGTAAAACTGCAGCTGCCCCACTTGCTCTGAGCGCTGGGTGTGCGGTGTGAGGGCTGTGCTGGCACGGGGCAGGGGAGGCAGCAGAGGTGACTGGTGGAGCTGATGGAGGAGGCACATGGGGAGGGAAGACAAGATATCAGACTTTGCCTTTCTGCTCTGCCACTGCCCAGTCTGAGCTTAGAAATTTAACTCAGCATGAACCTGCAGATAGGGCACAGGTTGTAGGTGTTCCTGTGGAGGTGAGGGACCAGGAAAGGCTGGGATGGTGGCAGCTGCTGCCTGGGCATGGTGCTCCTGGGGTTTGGAAGGCCCCAGCTCAGCCCAGGGGTGCTGCAGCCAGAAGAGGGTGCAGTGTCTCTGTGTTATGTTCCAGCACTCAGCTCCAGGGTCTGTCAGTTATCCCAGGTTTCGGTACCCTCAGAGATCCGTGTAACAGATCAGTTCTAGGCAATCTCAAACCAAAATTCACAGTGACTTTTTAATATGTGCCAATATTGTATACTTTGTAGTGAGCTGTGGGTTTTTCCAGCTGTTTTTAAATGCAGAACTCCATTGTGTTCACTTTCTCTGTGGATGGAGAGAACTCTCTAGACTGTGAGTTCAGTGGGATGGTGTTGGTTATGGTGTACGTGCAGCCGTGCACACTTGTGTCACCTGCACAAATTTCCATGAGTCCCTCAGGCCTCGTGGCCAGAGCACAGGGTTGAGCATCATCCCAGGCACCCAGAGTCTGAGTGTCTGAGCTACAGGTTTTACTCCTGTGTGAATGTCTAAGGATGTACTCACATCAGTATATAAACATATTAATTCATGTAAGCTGCCATAATTCTGGCTTGAATTGGATTAAAGGACTGGACTTGTTTAATATTGTTTACTTTGACAGTAACTTACTCTAAAATAACTCACAGTGCAGAGTCTTTCAAAATTGTTATTCTTAACCATGACGAAGACTTTTCAAAGACTGGGGATATGCTGAGATCTTCACACTAGCAAAAAAATAAACATTGAGACTCCTGTTAAGCTGTGCTGTATAAACAAGTAATAAAATAAATGAAGTGAGACAGAATAGTAGCATCCACATGAAATGTGAACAGGGTAATGTAGGAAATAATTCTCATACTTGAAGTGCTTCTGTAACTGAGATTTTTCAATTAATAAATGTTTTGTCAGCCTGTCTTTAGAGTCATGTGCATGAGTGGATTTAAGTGAACCCAAAGATAGAAAAAGCTCTATGTCAGACTGCAGGGTTTTTGCAGGATGTAGATTTTTTTCCCAAAGGCTGTAGATTGAGCTTTATGTGCATCGTATCCTGTTTTTTAAAATATCGATCAAGCTAAAAACAGATTTAATGAATGTGAAAATGGAAGATGGAAATGTGAAGGTATCCTTCACTCAGTGACCTAGTGCTGGCCTACTCCATAAAAAGCAGGAAATCTTAAATGCATACTCAAGACCTTGATGGGTCAGACTTTCTTTCTATCAGAGTTCATAATTTATAATACACCTTTTGCACCACATAAATGAGTGGAGAATTGGATGATGTCTGTAAATCCTCGGATCTTTTCTTTTCAGCAGGGATGGTTGGAAACATTTAATAGAGCCCAAACTGACTTTAGGATTCTTTGCAAGATCTGCTGGTGTATGGCCACTGCTACCTTTCCCTGGTGGCCTGTAAGAGGGTAGGATTTCTTCCTTCTTTTCATGATTCAAAAAATGATTACAAAAATTTGCAGGTATTGAGGGGGATAAAAGTGAGAGATAATTTTCAGAAGCAGTACTTTGGTAAAATATCCTTTTCAGTGTTCCTTTTTGCTACTGGAACATCATAAAAATAAGGAAAAGCTTTCAGCAGTATATAACTAGTGAACTAAATAGTCATGTAACATAGTATGTGTAATTAGCAACATTCTTCCAGTCAGTGTGCAGGAATTTCATTAAAAGCAAGTGCTTATGCACATGCAATGAGAACACTGACTGATAGCACTGTCAGATGAGAGGAACATGGATTTTCATTAATTTCCAGGCTTCCTTTCTCATCTGGGGTGATCTTGAGGTGACGTGACTGGAATATGTTGGTTCTGTATCCCATCTTTATTTACTTCCCACTTGGAAATAAAGCAGTTATCCCCATCCCACATGTTAATTACAGCAGTGTGGATGGATCATTTTGTTTGACTCACTTTAAGGCTGAAAAAAAATCAGGATTCCTTCCCTTCTTTTTTTAAATTGGGTGGAAGCCTGTTCCAGTTTCGGGGCCATCACTCCTGCCCGTGGTTGCAGCAGGACTCGCCTTCCCCCTGCTCCTCTTGGACTCGGTTTGAGTGGAGCCATCCCAGGGAAGTACGCAAGAGCTCTGTTCCAAGGACTGTTTTCAGATTCCTGAAGATTGTGAATTTTTGGTCATGGTGTTTTTTCCATACTGTTCAAACAGCAGGCACAACCCACATTAAGCTGGAGCTTAGTCAAATTCTGATGAAACGTGACCCCTTGCCCTTCCTGTCTTTGTTCCTTCCTAGTTTTAACTGCTAAAGCTGCTGTGAGTGTTCCTGAAAAGTAGTGCCTGTTTTTTAAAGTATACATGTTAAGAAAGCCTGAGGATGAATTTTCACAAGCAGCTACAGATAGTTGAATATTGTCCTTTGGTGATGCACAGGAGGAAAATGCTTGGGTCTCACCCTGTGGGTTTAGGTTTTTTTGTTTAAACTCCAAAACCCAGAGTATATAGTGCATATAAACTCCTGATTTGAGTTTTTTTCCTTTTCTTAACCTGATCCTATAGTTAGAATTAAAAAAAAAAATAATTTTGGAAAAAAAATAAATTAAAAAAAATTATTTCTGCATTTCTCTGCCACTTACTCAGTTTTCAGAATTCTAGGTCACTTGCTGCTAAAAAGCAGTGAAAATACTGTGTCCTCCTCCTACAGTAAGGGAAGGAAGCTAACGAAATATGGTGCAAGTTGTTTTGATCTGTGAGTGTCTGATCCAGTGTAGAGAACTTCTCCTTTTCTCTCCTTAGTTCATCTGTCCTCCTCTCTGACAGCTACAAACCATTTCCTTGTTTTGCACAGAACGTTAATCCTTCAGTCTACAGCACAGACAAAATAATGGACAGCTAATCCTTTCATTTGCCCTTTAAAAATTGATTTCTGTCTCCAAGATAATTGATATGGAGCAGCATCTCCTTCAGTGCCAGAAGAGTGGTTTACTTCTGAATCAGGAGTTCAGATGATGTAGAATTTTCAAAATCAGCAGTATCTGGGAGGGCATTTTCTTACTTTTTCTTTCAAATTAACCTGGTATGGCCATGAAAATATTTGGGATGATTTTCAAAGGTTTCTCAGACCTTCATGTTCTCTGTAAATTATTTAATAAAAAGGGTAGGAGCAGTCCCCTAAAATGGCCTTGATTTGTACATCTGAGAGTCTGTACATGGTAACTGTGACAGCATCTGCAAAGATGCAGCAGCATTTTGTAGGAATTTATTTCAGAACAACAGAGAGAATGCTGATAACTCTTGGACCTCTTTATAAACCAGCATCTCATGTGGATGAGGAGTACATTCCTACCGGCTTTCCAAAGGCTTCAGTGTGGAAAACTGCTTTTCACTCAGTGGAAAGATCAGGCTGATACGGTGTTGAGATGAGCCTGTGCTTACAATGAACACAGCAGAATTACAGTATTACTGTAGGAGCTGGAAAGGAATTGAAATGAGCCTAATATGTGATTGGGAAGATCTGTGGCAATTCCAGATAAAGGACATTTATTTTCCAAATTCCATCATCACTTTGATTTCCAGTCTTCTGTTGGTTGTTTGAAGTTAAGCATTGCCAAGTGCTGCATTCTTCATAGCAGGCAAGGATTCGTTATCCCTAATAAAGCACTACTAAAGAAGTTGAAGAATTATATGGGGGAGACATTGCTTAATAACAAGGTTCTGCTACAGCAATTTGTTATTTCCCCTACTGTGGATCATTAAAGCTTATATGTGTTTATTTTAAAGACAATTTAAAGACTAATTTTAAGACAAAACTGCCTAAAATTTTCTCAGTAGGGAAGATTGACTGGCATAGCTGTTGTTGGCTCTCTAACATGCCTGCTCTCTTCCAGAAAGTCACACCAGGTGGCTGCAAGAAGAATTTATTATAGGTAGATTATACAGATGAGTGGAGCAAGTCTGAAATTAAGCAACTTCAGAATACAGCAGTACTAGCTGCTTTTCCTGGCTGGGAGAAACCAGGATTGTCCCAAACTATACAAAGTTCTCTTTACATAACAAACTAATATGTACTACTCTGCTTTTGAGTCAAAGATTACAGCTGCAAAAAGACTCTGGATTATTTTTTAAAATGTGCCCACTAAAAATCAAATCCTGTTTTTTAATTGTTATTTTTACAGGTGGATTTATCTAAATGACCAGAACCTATGTATCCCAACTAGCTCTTCTTTTGTGTATGGAGCTGTGCCCATCGGAGCCAGCATATACGTGATTGGAGATCTCGATACAGGTCAGAACCAGGACTAAAAACCTCTTTATGCTCATTTCCTTCCAATATTTTGAATACTTAGCACTGATGAGACTGAACATTTTAAGAATAAGAGGTTGGGACTCTGTTCTGTCACTGTGGATCAGGGGGATTATGCTGGACATACAGAAACACCACAGGTTGGTTTTGGACCACTTCAGTAACAAGTTCAGTGCTTTGAGCATTGGGTTGATTTGGTTGATTAGTTTGAAGACCACAAGAGATCAAGGCTGAGTGTGTTACTGCTTTTATCTAAATGTAGGACCTGTTAGTGCTTGAGGTTGTAGCTCCTGTCTTTGCAGTGGGAAGCAGATAATTCTGCATTCTAGGAGCATCATCCAGTGGTTCATATGGACGTGGCAGTGACTCTTGGCTCTCACCAGACAGATGTGTGCTATCAAACATACTCAGTTCTCAGCTGCCAGCATCTGGCCACGCTCTGTAAAAGAAATTTGGAAGACTTTTGTGGCCATGTGTACATATAGGAGTGTGTAGCAGGGCTTTCTCCAAAATATAAGCAAACAAAATTCCAAATTTGGTTTGGTAGATCAGAAATGTCATAGTAGTTCCTTTTTGACGATGATTTCCACTACCCATCTGGACACTGATTTGTGTTCCTGTGCATGCTCTCGTTCACGTATTTGCCTTACTAGAGGTTAAACATGGTGGCAGCTGCAGTGAGTTATAAGCATTTCACCTCTTTTTCCCTTAATTCAGGTACAAACTATGACTATGTTAGGGAATTTAAGAGAAGCACGGGCACCTGGCAGCGCACTAAGCCGCTGTTCCCCTCGGACCTGCGGCGGACGGGCTGCGCAGCGCTGCGGATCGCCAACTGCAAACTCTTCCGACTGCAGCTGCAGCAGGGATTGTTCCGCATCCGCGTACCTTCACCGTGATCCGTGTGCTGCCAGGGGAGGAGACTGGAAGAGTTCTGTGCAGTCCACCATAATCTAGCTCTATTTAAAGGAAAAGCTGAGAAATTACAGCTGAAACTTACACTGTATGCTGTGCTTTGGTATGGTAACTGTTTTTGTTTTAAATGCTTACAAAAGCTTGAGTCTCAGTACTTGTTTTGGGAACAAATAACTTAAGTACACTTTAAAAAGAAGAGAAGGGGGAAAATAAAAGGGGAAATCAAGGAAACACCTTCAGTCGTAACCATTTGGAGTTTAAACTGTGTTATTGAAGGAGGATTTTTGTGTCTGAAACTGGTGGGAATCGGTTTCCTTTGGCAAAGCTTATTGAAAAGCAAAAAAAAAAAAAAAAAAGATTTCAGGTGCATTTCCCCTGCGGGGAACTGATACGAATCCATGTGCTATCTGGAACTGGATAGCTGTAACACAGAAGCTACACGATAACCAACCTCCCTGGTGTGCTGCTGTTGGAGCATGAGGCCACAGGAGGTATTGGTCGTTGCACCTTTTATTTCTAGTCCTTTCTCAAAAGATAAGGTCTGTGCCTAAAAAATGGTGGAGGTGTGTACATACGGTTTTTCATTCATTTGCAATGGTTTCATTCTGACAAATATTTTTAATATATATAAAATGGACTAATATGAAATGGATACACCCCAGAAAATGGATATAGTACACCACAAAGAAGTAAACTGTTTTTTTCTACTCTGTCATTCGAGTAGCCCGATGAACTGGTCTGCAGGTGGGTGGTGTGTGTCTCTGGGTGGGCTTTGGTGGCTGTTTTCCTTGAAGTGAAAAGGGAAGACATGTTTGGAACAGTTAGTGATGATTGCTGCTTTTGGTGAGAGCAAAAGGACAAATTAAATTGATTGTGTTCCTTTTTACTTCAGATTGTTTTCAAGCTAAGAATGGTTTTTAAGACTGAGGATCATAGAAAGGTGCATTTTATGTCTCTTAGAACAAAGGTGAAATATGACAAGGATATATGTATTTTGAAGAAAACGTGGGTTTTGGACTAAGAGTTAAGGAAGATTTGTACAGTGACTTTAAATTGGGATCAAAAGTTGGTTTACTATTGATTTCTGTGCTACAGTACAGTCTTGTTTACTGCTGTCTGACTTTGAAAGCTGGGTTTTATGGTGTGGTTATAGTGAAGAACTTAGTATCTTGCATTTTATTACTTACTAAGCCTTGTTCACATCAGTAGTGATATTTAATTGACTTTTGTTTGTAGTCAAGATCAGCTGGTAGAACAGTTTTACCTCAATTTTTGATTTCATTGTTGTGATGGGCGGGACATAACCTCTATTTATTTAAAAGGAATAAAATGGGAGAGGTGGAAAATAGAAATAATACCTCCTGCCCTTCAGAAAAAGAGACTTTGTACAACCAGTATTATAACTACATACAAGACTTTCCACTGCAACTTTGTGGACCTCAGACAAGACAAACTCTGCCCTCAGTTGTGTTTGTGTAAACCTTCATCATCTTTATTGAAATCATCTTACATATGTTGAAATATGATCCCAAACTAGTTCAAAATATCGGTATTTCACTAAATAGTCCTTGAAGAGCCATTCTGAAACATACCTCTGTCAGTCCTTCCATAGCACTGATGTGGGGTTGGAATTACTCTGATTCCTGAGCAGAGGAGTGTGGGAGGGTGGGGAAAGGGGTAGCAGCCAATCCATTTACTTCTTTTTCTATTTTTTTTTTTTATTTTATTTTTTACAATGCTGAAGTGCTGGAAAACTTGAACTATATACATTGATTTTCTGACCTATATTAGTTGGCATATTAAAAAGTTTATATATTTATGCATTGCAGTAAACTTGGTATGTGTATATATATGTCTTTAGATTTTAAATTTATATATAATGCTTTACTACAGAAATGTGAACCACTATTTCCATCCTTGGCTGTCTTGTGAAATAAATCAAGTTAGTTTATCTGTAAAACTTCCCTTTTTTGAAAAATCTTACATGGATCAATTTTTTTTTCTTCAGACAAAGTGCCAAGATCCCATAATCAAAAGTGATGAATGTTCCTAAGTATCTGTTTCACTTTGAGCTCAGTTTTCTAAGTGGCTTGGAAAATTTCCGAAAATGTTATTCAGAATATTGCCAGCTGCTATCTCCCGAGTCCCTGTAGCTTCCCAGTACGCTTGAGGGCATTCAGCATCCAGAAAACGTAAGTGATAAATGCACATGATGAATACAAGTAAATACTCTAGCAGTGTTCTGCAGTTCAAGTTACTGAACCAAATGTTTACACTTAGAGTAGGATTAACACTAGGTGTTCTTAGTTTGTTTTTTTTTTAAAGAAAACATAAATAAATCAAGTCTGCTGGTGATTGGAGCGTGTTGCGAATGCACTCAGTGAGATTTGACCAAGAAGTTTAAGCCTCTGTACCTGAACCAGTCACAAACTGAATTTCTGAGCACATTGTACTCGTGTCACGTTCCACGTGGTTGGGGCCCAGGTCTCCAGGGATGCTCTCCAGGGGTTTTGGGTGCATGCTCAAGATTTAGGCACTCCTGAGATCTCAAAACTGGCTTCCTTGGACTTGCCTAAGGGGCTGGAACCATTCCCCATCTGCATTGTCTATGGGACTGATCCGGGAGCTGTTCTAGCCTCTGTGTGTGCAGGAGGGAAGGGATGTGTCTTCTGGGGTCTGACTCTTGTCTGTCTGTCTGTCCAGCTCTGATCTGTGGGTGCATCCCTTGGATTGTGCAATAACCAGGCTTGATTTCCCTCTGAATTTGGAGCAAGGCTTTGAAGCCAGGGCTCCCTTTCTCCAGGGATTGTACCAGTGTTGGGGCAAGAGTGAAGAGACACAGCTGACATCTGACTTTTCTTTGTCTTTTCAGAGGGATGGTTGACTTCAGAAGGGGAGGGAGGCTGTGATGATAGCAGAGGTACTGGGATGAGGGAGGTCACCAGCTTGCTGAGTGTGTTGAACGTGCAAACAGCTGTAGATTGAACTGGGTTCACTGGTAAATGCCATCACTCAGCTGTCCCTGCTCTCCTGGCACTGTGTACGCCTGCACATGATGGCTGAACCACATGGGAAACAACTCAGGAGTTTTTCTGAGTTGCAGTCCAGGGGTTTTAGGTGGTTTGGCAGTTTTGAAACTTGTTTAAGTTGTCCTTGCTTGGCACTGTGGCCTTAATTCCCCCCAGCTCATGAGTCGATACTGACATTCAGCCAGGTCCTCCACAGGTGGCTGAATGTGTGTCCTGCACAGCTCTCCATGCAGGATGAGGACTGGCTGGGCCACCTTGAGCTTGAGGCACTTGGGCTGGGCCTCTGCATCCTTTTTCCTTTCCCTGCTGAGGAATTGGACCAACCCCAGCTACTGAAATCAGAAAATCACCAAATACGGGGTAGGAATTGTGGAAGATGGGGCAAGTGGTGGCTTTTTTCTCCCCCTTACTCCATCTCTTCCCACAATTCCTGCAAGAAAAGTTTCTTCTTCCCTTTTTTTCATGTGCCACAGATAATTTTGGAAAAATTTTGGAACTGTCAATTTTAGGGAAAAAGTGTGGGGAAAAAACCGTGCTTACTGTAAGCACACAGCAGTGTCCTCTGTGCTTGTTTTACACTTGTAGTCTTGTGGCTGCTCTGCACAGCAGAGAGGGATTACAGAAGTGAAGGTGTAAACTGCTGTTGTTGTCATAAAATAAATGCCTTGAGTTTTTGAGGGAGGCACATGCCTGGCCTGGCTCTGTTCCTTACCTGGCCTTGACAGGTGGTTGTACTCCTAAAGAGTCAGGGTTGGTTTTCAGATCCTCTCCCTTTCTGGTTTTATAACCTGAAGAAGAGGCATCCTGAAGAGCCTTCTGTTTTGCTGTACCATAGCAAGGTCTGGTTGTCCTTAAATATTTTGTCAGCTAGTCCTTAAATTTTAGTTATTGTGCTGTGTAAACCCAGCTGCTTCTGGTCAAATAATTTCTGTAGCTTTGAGGGTACTTCACCTTTAAATTAAAGGCAGATTAATACAAAATTACACAAAAGGACAGAGGTGAATCTGAAACCAAAAGAAGCTCAAAATCAGCTCGCTGATAGCTGTGGTCAGGCTGTGTCCCTGGTGTTTGCACAGCACGTGCCTGGCACACAGCCTGCCTTCAGGAGCAGAGATCTTGATGAAAATAAGAGGTTTTTATCAAAGCTACTGAACTGCCTGGCTTATGAACTCCCCCTCCAGAACACACTAGGCAGCTTGGTTGCTTTGCAATATTTCTGGTGCCTGCATGACTCAGTAAATGCACAAGTACAGGAGTGAGGAGTTTGGGGAGGTTTTTCCCCTGGTTTAATTGCAATTTCTCTGTTTGTTCCATAAATGTTGTGGCTGTGCAGCCTGCATGGGCTCTGCTACCATGCATGTGCCATGCAGACTGGAGGATGCAATAACAAATGCAAGTTGTTGTAAGTGCCAAACTTTTGGGTTCTTCTGTGTATAACAATAATTCACCTGTTATACTAAAATAGAGATGCTTAAAATTCACTGTGTTCCAAAAAAGAGCAGTGGTTTGTTTTTTTTTTTTTAATGAATGCTATTGAAAGCACTATAAATCTACTTTTTTTTTCTTTTAATACTGTTCTGCAGGTTTGTGTTGCTCTTCACAGCTGCCTTGAGTATCACTCCATGTGATGTATATGGACACTTTGCTCTTTATTAGAGCACTGGTGCCATGCAAGTATATAATAAAAGGCAGCTGACAACAGGCTTTAGTATCTAAAATTATAACTGTTTGGATTAAGTGCAATTTGTTTGCATTAATCGACCTGCAGAAAGGAAACTGTGCCTCGGGAAGGGTGGCTGTGCCCAGGGACACAGGCAGACTGGGCATTGTAACTAAGGTGTGGTTTGGTGCCAGTCAAAGCGATGCTTTCCAAGGAATTATATTTAATTTAGCGTTAAATGGATCCTTTCTGCCTCTAATTTAGCGCTGAGGATTTAGGGGTTGTGTTCTCTCTAGCTCTTTGGAGTATTTAAATGGCTACTTCAGGTGGGTGGGAGGGGTGTTAATTGCATCTGTGTTTGTAGAAGCTGCTATTTCCATCTTCCCAAAGGAGTATTTCCTTTTCCCGTTCAGGACTGAGTGCAGGCCTGTGTTTCAGTCGTCACTGCTGCAGCCTTTTGACATTTGCCATTTTCTGATGCTCTTCCTTGTTTTTTCTTGGAGCTGGGAGCTGTGTCCGTAGGTTCTGTGTTCCCAGGGCACGTTGCCTGTGAGAGAAGAGCACAGGGCTTGGGAAGGTGAGCCAGTAAAAGCTGAAGGCAGTGGGGTTTGGGGGAAACTCTGCTCATTTTCTGTGGGGGTCACCTCTGTGTGCACTGAAGTTTATTAATGAGTTTGGCACCTGCTCTCCATCATCCCTATGGGTTTTGATGTGGGTTTTTTTGGTTTTTTTTTTTAAGTTTTTCCCTGGGAAATTCCTTGCTGTAGGAAGGATTGCAGCCAGGGTTTAAGGTGACACCTCTGACCAGTCATGCCCAGCATGACTCTGCAGTCTGACTGCAGCTGTGCTCCAGCAATCAATTCTCCCAAAATATTGATTAACAGGTAACCTAAAAAGACGGACTAAAGCCATGCAAAGTGCCCAACTAGATAAACAGCTACTTAAAAACATTAAGCTATGAGGTACTACCAACAGATGATTATGTTGAAAATTTATTGGTGATACAAAATATGAATAATATTTTTTTTAAAATGACTTATTCTAGGTAGCTGCTTCTTGGTTATAAAAGTATCTGCAATACATAAAGGACTTGTATAGAATAATATTTGGAGGTTATTTAAAATAATCTATTGAAATGTCTTGAAAAGTGAACTAGAAGACTGGAGCTTTTCAATGAGAAAAGGCTAAACTTTGGTGCCCAGCAGTTTTGCGGGGTTTCTGTGAGCAGAGAGCACCTGCCAGTGCACTTCGGTACATGAAGCTGCCCAGTGCCACTGCCTACCTGTGCCCTTGAATTTGCATAATGAAATTAGGCTGTTCTGAGCCCTGGTAAAAGCTGATGGGTCTGATTACAATAATAAAAAGAAGTATACCCAGCGTAATTAGTGTTATTTTATTGAAAAAATGTGAATTTTTAATTTTTTTTTTAATATCAGGGGCTTTTGTGTTACCAGCTTAGGCACTTGATTTATTTAATTTTTTTAATTTATTTGACTTTCCTCCATTTCTTTTGAGTTAATGCTGAGACATCCTCAGTTTCTGTCGAGGGCAAGTTTCTTTCATCTGTAGTTCTAAGCCTTGTCAGAGCCTGACAGACCCCCTGCCACAGGCTGTACACTTGTTTCACAAGTGTCATTTCTGTGCATTCTGTTATTGGGCACCTCTGCCAATTTCAGAACAGAAAAAAAACCCTGTGGAACAACTTTGTACCTGGTGAAAGCAAGAGCCATTTTGGAAAGTTTAAATTTCCATCTGCAGTAGATAGTGTGCTACAAAAACCTGATCCTTGGCTGGGCTTGAGGTTCTCTCCTGCTTTATTAATTTACACATGATAGCAGGAAAGCATTATCATTCCTGTCACTTGATTCACTGTTTTTATGACTTAAAAAGCAAAGCCTGCTTATTTATTAGACTGAGTAAAGCAAGTACACAGGGGTATCTGCTGAGGTGATCAAGTTAAACACAGCTGACATTCTGTAGAGCTCTTGCTATAGTTTTTTCTGAAGGAAGCCAGGGAGTGCCTTCTTAAGAAATATTTTCAAACACTTTCAGAGATGGTCTTAAACTAGTCCAAAGGACTAATTTGGATTGCTTAGAGAACATAAGGTCTGTTCTAGCTTTTGTTTGCTTGGGGAAACACCTGCTAAGTCAATTTTAAGCTTTTATTTTTTTTTTTTTAATCGTTGACTTCCAAAGCCTGAGTGGTTTGCTTCTTGCAATTGAAATACGTATTTAAGGGTCTGAGACTGCATTTTGCAATGCATAGCGAGTGTTCTATCCTATCTTGGTTACATGATGTAAACAGCAAGCTGCCCTTCTGGGGGGCTCCTGGAAGCTCCTTAGCAGTGCTAAGGTGGGGAGAAGGTTCAGCACAAGATTCTTCTTACACTGCACAAGCCTTGCTGTGAGTGGCTGGGTTTGGTACAGAACTCATGGAATTCCACTGCTGGCTGCCCTCAGAGTTTGGACCCCCCCAAAGCTCATCAGGGGCAGGTTCTGGGTGGTCCATGCATGATGTTTCCTCTGGCTTCAGAAACTGTTTTCTCTTTTGCTGTTATCAACAGGATTTTGCTTTCAGTCTCCCTCTGAGCACCCGGCCTGTGTCCATGGTCCCTGGGAGCACAACTCCTCTGGGTCAGAGGGTGGCCACCAACTTGCTTCCTGTGGCTTTTGCACATCTCTGCACAACAGTGTGTGTGGGGACAGTGCTTAGTACACAATGAAATGACTTTTCATTGAGCTTGTAAAACTGATACCAGCAGGTCAGAGATCACCTGAACACCTGTAAGCAAACCTGCAGGTAGAGCAGGTGTAGCCCAGTCCCTCATGACTGTAACTGTGGCTGGAAATCTGGCACCTTGTCCAGGGGGAAAAGCCCCTATTCCCAGCTACCTCATTTTTTATTTCTTTGCACTTTGTCAAATATGTTTTGTTTTGTTTTAAATTGCATTTTGTCCTTCAATTTAAAAAAACCTAAAAGCAGACAAGAAGCAGGACAGAATGGTACCATTGCCCAAGGACAGTTTAATTTCATTATAAATTAATGTTTCTGTACAAAAAGACCAAGGTTGACCTGCAGCTGCTGTAAAAAGTAAATAAAAATTTCTATTACTTGAAAGTAACTATTATACTTGGAAATGAGAGTAGCAATTGAAAGGCTGTCCTGATCATTTTTAAATAGGAAAATATCTGTTTAAAAAATAGAAGTCTCTGCTCTTTTAAGGACAGATCAGTTAGTGTTCTCTCTGCCCCTACTCTGCTCTCACTGTTTTGCCTGTGAACTTGATCCATTATTTCAATAGATATTCACTGCTTTTTCTGTAATGTCTCATTAGGTATTTTTTCTGTGGAGTTCCCCATTTAATCACCTGCAGAGGAAAAACTTCAAATCAATACCGACCTTCCATACCTGAACTTAGGTCATTGCCCATTTCTTTGTGATCTTCTGGTATGTGGGGTTTTGCTTGGATTAAAGTTGTTTTTTAAAAAGTGTGTTTTCCTCTGCTTCTAAAGGTGCTATTTCGACATAGTTTTGAATTCCTTACACTGTGCTTGACTTTTTAAAGTACCAATATAAGCTGGTAACCAGCTTGTTTGTTCTGTGGAGTTTTTCTTTGAGTATTCAATCTCTATTTTGAAAAGCATCCCTTTTCATAGAGACAGCTTCCAAACTGTCAAAGGCCTTAATACAAAATGTAATGAGAAAATGCTACCTTTTTCCTTTCTTTGTAAAGGCAAAACCAAGAAATGCTTCATGGAGAACATCTTCCTCTAAAATTTTGAGGAGCAGCTCCTACTAACTTTGAATTCAATGTAGCAAACAATTTTAGTGGCCATGCTCAAATAGTAGGGGTGAAACAAGGAGGTATTATAACTCTGCAGACTGTAGCAATTAGCTGCTAATTCCAGAGCCTTCCATTAGCATCATGGTGGCTATTCCATAAATATTAATCTTCCCAGGACCTGGCTGCGTGTCTGGGACGCGCTGACCGATGTGGCTGGCAGATCACTGGGATGTTGGGCCTGGTGTGGGGTTTGTCTCAGACCCCTCCTGCTCAGCCCCTCAGGGTTTGGGTGCCACAGGTGCTCAGGAGGAAGGAGAAGGGAAGCTCTCAAGTGCTGCCGTTACAGTGACATTGGCTTGGACACTACGAGGGAGGAGAAACTCTTGTAGACACAAGCCATGGAGGAGAGAGCTGAATTTTAGTCCTGCATAGGAATTTTGTTGTTGTCCTTCATGTGCTGTCTTTATTTTTCTTGAATCCATATCATCAGTTTGGCTTAGGCATTTGGTAACACTGCTACAGGAAGGCTTTTCCTTCTCTGAAGCACATAAAGTCCTACTCCTACCCTGTCTGAAGCAGCAGGAAGGATCAAGGGTTGATGTTTGAATTTGTCCCATCTCCAGACAGCAGGTTATTTATTGCCTTCTCATAGGCTCTGCAGCATTTCTCAGTTGTGTTAATCTCGGAGCCCTTTAGCCTTTCGAAAAGAGTCCAGAGACTGCCTTGTCCTTCTCCTTCACACGTTGGGTGCTGCCCTCTGGGCCACCCAGACTCATCCAGGCTGTCACTGTAGAGGAGCCACCGGTTGGTGGCCTCACAGGAGTATCTGTGCTACCTGCAGCACTTCTGAAAAGCAGCTGATTAATGAGGGGCCTTGGAGAAACTACTGAGCTTGCAAATTCCTGATCCTCTCAGTCTAGGGAAGGCTGAGGAGCAGCATCATTCCTTGCCTTGCAGCTGCTCCCTGCTGCACAGGTAAGGATGAGTCTGCACTGTCCCTTACATAAGGGTGAGATATAAAGATTTATGGGCTGTTACAGGAAATCCATTGTTTTGCATTTGTTGTATTTCAATCTGAATCTTCTGGAGCTATGAAACTGTGAGTTCTGGAACTATGTCTGCAGTGTGGAACCACAGGTACAGGCCTAAATAGCTGGGGAGCTTCTGGCCACCTGTTTTTCCACTGCAC